AAAAAAAAAAAAAAAAAAAACATTGACTCAGGGCCACCAGGCACAGCTGAAGGAAGTGGTGAGCACTGAGCTGAAAACAAAAGACTGGGTGAAAATAGGCGTGCTGAATGTTGGATCCAAAACCCTATCCCCCTTGCCCTGCTGCCAGAACCTCAACAGTGGTGGCCATGCAAATAATCCCCAGAGAGGAGACTGGAGAATCTTCTCTGGAGAAACTGAAGAGTTCCTGCAGTGTGACCTACAGATTCTGACATTTGAGGGTACCCACTAAAAAACCCACTTCTCCGGTCACCTTAGAATGAAGCGCATCAATGAACAAACCCCATCTGCACACCTAGAGTTTCCAATTAGCTCTGCTCAGTGTCCTGTTCTTAAATATGAATAGACAAATACCAAACATTTGAGGAAAACCTCCAACAACACACACACACACACACACACACACACACACACACACACTCACACACCAGAAAGGGTGGAAGGGAATTCAGAGGAAACAATGTGAAAACCAGAAGAAAACTTAAAACCAGGAAAATTCCTCAGAGAGCTAAGAGCACACGTACATGAAACAAAAACAGAAATGCTATATGTAAAGTAAGAAGCAATCAGTGAACAAGAGAGTTAAAATTAAAAATCCAATAGAAAGGATAAGATAAAGTTAATAACATTTTCTATCCAGAGAGTAGAAGAAAAAGAGGGTGACATAAGTAGAAAAAAAAAAATGAGTATAATGCAGGCTCCCACACCCTGAAAATCACAGAAAATGGGATGAGAGTGCAGGTTGGGCCATGGTGTGGTAGAAAACAGGTAATTTACATATGAAAGGAAAACAGATCACATCCACAGAGTTTAAAAAAGAACAAAACTGTACTTTTAAATAGCAGCACTTGGAAGTTAGAAGAGCGTGCCTTTGAAAATCTAAGGGAAAAACATTGCCAACCTAGAATCCCACACCCAGTTAAACTATCAGTCAAATATGAGAGAAGAGTCAATATTTTCAGATAGATAAGGTGTTACAAAGTTTACCTCCCATGGTTACTTTCTTTGGAAGCTATTAGATGATGTGGTTGACCAAAATGAGGCTGTAAAACAAAAAAGGGGAAGAAGATCTAAGATCCATGCAGTAGGAGAACCAACACAGAAAAACAGAGAAGTGTTAAGAAGCTCAGGAAAGCAGCTCTGGAACAAGCCTAGAACGAGCCACCCTACATCAGACCCAGAGGACAAAGGACTCCAAAAAGGAAATTTCCAGGAAAAAAAAAAAAGGAATCGATAGATTATCTGTTAGGTTTGACTATACGAAAAAATTATGGCATAGAGTTTAACAACACTTTTGGAGATGGGAAAATTAGGTAGGGGTGTGTAGAAAACTTAACAATTAAAAAACATGAGGCTATTATAAATTTGTATTATGAGACTTATGATATGATGAAGTTTCTACCCCTTAGAAATTGTATAGACTTTAAAAAGTAGGTGGAGGAGAAAGGGTGACGTATTCCTTTCATCCTAAGTATCCATGACTGCTTTTTGCCACCTCTTAGATCCCTACCCAAGAGTCTTGGTATTGATGCCTTGACACTAGATACTCAGAGAATCTTCTCTCTTCCCTGGGGTGACAATGGATGGTGGATGACATGTGGAAGACATCAAAGAAAGCCCCAAAGGAGACAGACACAAGGGCAAAAGTCCATGTGATTAGATGCATCATTAAAAGTCAAAGATGGAAATAATAATAATAATACAAAATAATTGAGACCACTTCAAATTCAAATTTGATGTGGAGGTAAGGGGAACTTGTGGAAATAGTGATCATGGTGAAGTGATTAAAAAGGTGGAGCCCAGGGACTTCCCTGGTGGTCCAGTGGTTAAGAAACCCGGACGTGGGTTTGATCCCTGGTGGGGGAACTAAGATCCTACATGCCGCAGGGAAACTAAGCCCACACGCCTCAACTACTGAGCCCACATGCTCTAGAGTCTGCGTACCATAACTAGAGAGCCCACGTGCTGCAACAAAGATCCCTGTGTGCCACAACTAAGACCCGATGCAGTCAAATAAATAAATAAATACATATTTTTTTAAAAATAGTAGAACTCGGGACTTACCTGGTGGCGTAGTGGTTAAGAATCCGCCTGTCAATGCAGGGGACATGGGTTCAATCCCTGGCCCGGGAAGATCCCACATGCTGTGGAGCAACCAAGCCCGTGCGCCACAACTACTGAACCTGCGCTCTACAGTCCGTGAGCCGCAACTACTGAGCCTGCATGCCACAACTACTGAAGCTCACAAGCCTAGAGCCCGTGCTCTGCAACGAGAAGCCACTGCAATGAGAAACCCACACACCGCATCGAACAGTAGCCTCCACTCACTGTAACTAGAGAAAGCCCGCGCACAGCAACGAAGACCCAAGGCAGCCAAGAATAAATAAATAAATAAATAAATAAATAAATAAATACATACATACATTTGTATATATATAAAAAAATAGTGGAGCCCAGCAATTATTCTGGATACAATCTGGGGGCTAGTTAGAGGGAAGATCAGGGATGCTGGGCTCAGTCCAGATATACAGCGCCCTGCGAGAGGTCTGTCCCATTACACTGTAAAATTGGTTACATGGGAGAGAAGGGTACAGAAATAGTAAAGGAAATAGCTTTAAAATCCAACAAACATAATCACTATTATGGGATTTGGCTTCTTACTTTTTTTTTCACTTCTTTACTTTCTTATCTCTGCTCTTGCCTTTGTCACTTTGGAGCCCTTCATTATTCTTTAGGATCCTCTCTCAGAAACTGCACTCCAGCCTGCATCTCTGTCCACAACCTCCATGACCTATCCTTATCCTGCTGTACCTTTCCATTTTTCTCACTATGTATTCTCCTACATCTCATAAACCTAATCATGTGTTAAGCTAAATCCTTCTAGCCTATCCTAAATCCATTTCTCAAACATTTCTCTATAAGCTCCTCAGTCACAGCTCTTTTCCAAGAAACCAATGTCCACTTTTCCTCTACCTATCAACACATTAACGAATCTTCTCTTTCTTCTCAAAATGTTCCATTTCCCTCTTTATCACTCTTCTTCACTTCCTTTGGTCCTGGTCTCCGCCTTCATCCCCAGTGGCTCTTCATTCCCACTCTCTCTTCTCTTAGGCAAAGATGCTCTCCTTTCCCTCTCATATTTACCCCTTCAGGGTCAGTAACGTTCTGCTTGTCTCTAATTTCTCCTCTCTGACTTGCAATACTTCCCTTATTTGCTTCTCTTTCCTTCTTTACCTTAAATCCTTCATCTGCCTCATTCACTGGTACCTTTGTCTATAATCTTTCTCTTCCATAGAAACGGATTCATCAGTATTATCATTCACTTCATCCAAGACATCCTCCTCAACCTCCACCCCTTCCTCAGTCTCTTCATTGTTCTCCTCTACCTTTTCAAAAGGAATGTCCATCTCAGCATCAGTAATTTCTGTCAATCTTTCATCACCAGTAACTTCCACCACTCTTTCAATTTTCTCTTCATTTATGCTCCCCATTCTTGAACCCTCCAATTTCTCTCCACTAGTCCCCAGCTTCTCTCCCCTGGATCCCCGCCTTTCCCCGCTGAACACCAGCTTCTCTCCACTCGACCTCGGCTTCTCTCCACTCGACCTCGGCTTCTCTCCACCTGACCTCAGCTTCTCTCCACTTGACCTCGGCTTCTCTCCACCTGACCTCAGCTTCTCTCCACTCGACCTCGGCTTCTCTCCACCTGACCTCAGCTTCTCCCCACTTGACCTCAGCTCCTCCGCATTCTGCCCTAGTTCGTATCCTCTGGATCTCGAGTCCTCTCCACTGGTTTCCACTCCAGTAAACTTCAACCTCTCTTTAAACCCAGATCCCCCCCTAGACCCCGCTGTAGTCTCTGCATCCTCAGATTCAGCCTTTATTTCGTGTCTGACTTCTTGCTTTCCCCACACCTCCTTCGAGTTGTCTTTCCGCAAACCCGCGGAAGCCTGTAATGCGCTTGCTACATTGCGCACTCGTTTCACATCCATCCTTTCCTGTCTCTGGCCTGACTTTCCTCTCAAGACTGCCTTTTCCACATCTTCCAGTCTCCAGTCGTCAGACTCAAGCTTCGGGTCCCACATCCTAGGCTTTTGCGTGTTTCTACCTAGGAGCTCCATTCTCTTCCCGATCACGATGAGCCCGTTCCAGGGCATCCACAATTTTTCTCGCATCGTCTGCGCCCCTCTGCTTCTAGGCTCCAGTTGCGACCGCCCGCGGGTCCGCGCCTGGCCTCGGGCGCCCTGGCCTCGGGCCCTGTCGCGCCCCCTCGCCGCCCTTTGCGGCTTACCCAGCCACTCCCTCATGTCCCAGAGCGGATGTCCAAACGGAACCCGTTTCTCCAAAGACATTAGCCCTTGCCACCTCAAACGCGGCTCCCCATTCCCTTCACCCACCCCACCCTCCCACCCAGCCCTCTGGCCTGCCGCCCCGCCCACCGCCTGGAGCGCGGGAGACTAGGGTAGTGCGCACGCGCAGGCCGCGCCAGGCCGTTAGAAGGCGCGGCCCAGAGGGGCGGCGGGCGGGAGTCAGCCAGCCTGGGGCGTGGGCTGACGCGACAGTAGACCTCTGCGATCCTAGAGCCCCCCCTGCCCCCCCCGACTCCATCCCCCACGCTGTCGGCTGTTCCCGGCCTTCTCAGTTCCGCGCTGCCCCTTAAAAGCTGGGGCCCGAAAAAAAAAAAATGGGGCCCGGGCACAGGAACGACAGGCGTTGCAGCCAATGGCGTCCCGCACGGTAAACCTGCTACCCAATCAAAAGGCGCGGCTGCGAGGGAACGGCGTGGAACCACGCCCGGCTCCAGGTGACTTCTTGGCAGGGAGGGAAGAATACCTCTGTCAGCTGATAGGATCCCCACTGGGTCCGTTCCACGGGGCGATTTACCGGGGACCAACCTATGGGAGCGCGCGGGCAGTGACCCGCCGCGGAATTCTTGTGTGCTGTAGTCGAGAACGAGAGTGATGGAGGAGCATCTAGAGGCTGGGAAGGAGAGCAAGGTACAGAAAGGATGCAAACACCTTCCCAAACTTCACCTCACTCCATGATACCCAGTGATGCCCAATCAGGGAATGGTGTGTGTGTGTGTGTGTATGTGTGTGTGTGTGAGTGAGTGTGTGTTCGTGCCCACGCATGAGCTAGAGAAAGACGAGACCCGAGCAATGGGGTGGGGCGCTTCTGTGGCATCAGCATGGGGGCTGGTGAGGATGTCAAAGAGGTAGGGTTTACCGTGGCCCCGACAGATGGAAAAGGACCCGTCACTCTTACTCATCCCCTTCCCAGGACCGACTCATGCTGGTTTGTTGGGGAAGAAGGAAGGATGTTAGGAATTGAGAAGGGGCTGGAGTACCCTCCTCCTTTCCCAAGGTGGGGGAATACTGTTCAGCACTAATGGCTTCACTTGTGTATCTATGTTCATGTAATCATGAGACCATTCATTCTTTTCTATTGACTTCATTCAACAAATAGTTTCTGAGCATACTTGTGCCAAGGATGGTTAGGGGTGGGGCATACAGAGGTGCACACTTTTAGGGGTAGGAGGAATGTGCCTAGTGGGCTGTGACTGAGAATAAGGATGGAGCAGCTGTGGTCCATCTTTGAAGTCCCATCTCCCTCAAGCAGTTATCAAGCAGGAAGGAGACAGGGGACTTGGGGGCCTATTGCACCAATGAGCCAGACTTTGGGGGTGGGGGGCTGTTGGACAGAGGAAGAGCCTGCCATGGGGGTGTTGGAGAAGCCAAGAGGTGAGGAATGGGGATCAGTGGAATTTGAAGAAGTGAGAGGGGTGAGAGACCAAAGTATGGAACAGAAAGCATCTGTTTCAGTGTTTATCTATGTTCATATTCATGGTTAAATTAGTTAACACAGGGACTTCCCTGGCGGTCCAGTGGTTAAGACTTTGCCTTCCAATGCAGGGGGTGCAGGTTCTATCCATAGTGGGGGAGCTAAGATCCCACATGCATTGTGGTCAAAAAACCAAAACATAAAGCAGAAGCAATAATGTAACAAATTCAATAAAGACTTTAAAAATGGTCCACATCAAAAAAAATCTTTAAAAAAATAGTTAATATATATAAAATGCTTAGAGCAATGCCTGGCATATAGGTAGAGCAAATATAAGTGTTAGCTATTATATTACTATTACTGTTACCAGTAATAGTGGATGCTACGTGTTCTAAGGATATACTGGGCTGTCAAACTGTTGGGTGCACCCCTAACCTTTGCAGATGCCAGACTCTTTGAAAATCTGTTATTAGACCATGTCCTCCAGAGTAATCATTGGCTTCTTCAAAATTCTCCTATAAATATAGAGAAATGAAAAGAGTAATAAATGAATATGTAAGTACAAATATAACAGAGAAAATGAAATAACATAAAATACTTGACTAATCTAACAGAAATCAAGAAAGAATAAAGCAACTATACTCCAATAAAAATTAATTTTAAAAAAAGAATAAAGGAACAAAAAACAGATGAGATGAAGACAAAATAAAAAGATGGCAGGTTTATAGCCTACTATATCAGTAATTACAATAATAATGAATGGAACAAAAACTACAGTTAAAAAACAAACATCTGGGCTTCCCTGGTGGCGCAGTGGTTAAGAATATGCCTGGCAGGGCTTCCCTGGTGGCGCAGTGGTTGAGTCCACCTGCCGATGCAGGGGACACGGGTTTGTGCCCCGGTCCAGGAAGATCCCACATGCCGCGGAGCAGCTGGGCCCGTGAGCCATGGCCGCTGAGCCTGCGCGTCTGGAGCCTGCGCTCCACAACGGGAGAGGCCACAACAGTGAGAGGCCCGTGTACCGCAAAAAAAAAAAAAAAAAAGCAAAATAAAAAATTACATATGCTGCAGAGAGGCTAAGCCCGTGTGCCACAACTACTGAGCCTGCAGTCTAGAGCCCGCGAGCCACAACTACTGAGGCCTGCGCACCACAACGAAGAGTAGCCCCCGCTTGCCACAACCAGAGAAAAACCACACACAGCAACCAAAACCCAATGCAGCCAAAAATAAACAAATAAATAAATGTATATATATATATATATAATTACTGAGAAAAATTAAAGAAGACCTAAATCACTGGAAAGATATTCCATGTTCATGGATTGGAAGATTCAGTATTGTAAAAACGTCTGTCCTTCTCAATTTGATCTATAGATTCAATGTAATCTCAATCAAATCCCAGAAAGTTCTTTGGGGGTAGAAATTAACAAGCTGATTCTAAAATTTATGTGGAAATGCAAAGGACCTACAATAGCCAAAATGATTTTGAAAAAGAACAAAGTTAATTCTACCTGATTTCAATGTTGCTTGTCAATTACAGTAATCAAGAGTGTGATATTATCAAAAGTATAGATATATAGATCAATGGAACAGAATAGAGAATACAGAACTGATCACACTTATGAGGTCAATTGATTTTCTACCAAAACATATCAATAGTGAAAAAATAGTGTTTTTAAACAAATAGTGGTAAAATCACGGGCTATTTATAGGGCAAAAATGAATCACAACCCATACCTTACACTGCATACAAGTTGAATTAAATGGATCATAGACCTAAAACTGTTAATTTCTAGAAGAAAAAAATAGGAGAATATCTTCATGACCTTGGGGTAGGAGTGCTTCTTCAAGAGTACACAAACCACAAAAGGAAAGATTGATATGTTGAGCTTGTAAAATTATAAGCCATTAACAGAGTAAAAAGGCAACCCATAGAGTAGGAGATATTGGCAAAACATATAACTGACAAAGGGCTTGTCTCCAGGATATTTAAAGAGTTCCTACAAATCAATAAGAGAAAGATGATCTGATTTTTAAAAGAGGATAGCAGGGAGGAGCAAAAGACATGAATAGGCAGTTTACAAAAGAAGATATCTGAATGTCTAATAGGTACATGAAATGGTGTTCAATATCATTTCTCACCAGGGAATACAAGTTAAAGCCACTATGCACTATTTTTTTTAAAAAAGATGTATTTATTTATTTGGTGGCACTGGTCTTAGTTGTGGCATGTGGGATCTTCGTTGCTGCGCACGGGATCTTTGTTGTGGCATGTGGGATCTTTTTTTTTTAGTTGCGGCATGTGGGATCTTTTAGTTGTGGCATGTGGGATCTAGTTCCCCGACCAGGGATTGAACCCGGGCCCCCTGCATTGGGAGCATGGAGTCTTAACCACTGGACCACCAGGGAAGTCCTCACAATGCAGTATTACTGTACCTCCACCAGTAAGGCTAAAATTAAAAGGACTAACAGTTCTAAGTATTGGCAAGGATGTGGTGCAACTGGAACTTTCATTCAATGCTGGAGGGAGTGTGAATTAGTACAGTCACCTTGGAAAACTGTTTGGCAGTATCTATGAAAGCGTTTTAAACACATGCCTACCCTCTGACAAAGCCATTCTCGTACCCAACAGAAATGAGTACTTAGGTCACTCAAAAGATATATGCAAGAATGTTCATGGCAGCTTTATTCATAATAGCCCCAAACTTGAAATAATCCAAAAGACCACCAACAGTAGAATGGATAAACTACGATACGGTCATATGATGGAACACTACACAGCAATGAAAAAGAAACACTGCACTCAATGACATAGATGGGTCTCACTAAAGAACATGGACACAAAATAGTATATACTGTGTAACTGCATTGATATGAGGCTCAAGGCCAGGTAAAATTAATCTATGGTGCTAGAAGTCTAAGAGTGGTCCCACAGTGTCCCAAATAAGTGCTAAAGCCTGTGAGAGGAGAGAGGGAGGCCTCTGAGTGTGAGAGGTGGGCAGGTGTCAGTTTATATACTGGTGAGTAGTACTTGAAGGGAGAGTGGCTTCTGAGCCTCTACCTCTCTCCCTAGTACCTCTTGGCACAATGGTGTGCACATAGCAGGTGTTCACTAAATGCTTGTTGAGATAGCTCAGTGTAAGAATGAACTAGTAACTTGGTGCCTCAGGGATCTTTTCACTTAGAAAAAAAATACAAGTGCTTGGCCTCCAAGTCAGTGCCATCTTATCCAGCTCACTTTACACCTGGTGAAAGGTACCTGAGGTAACCAGCTGAGAAGGGGTGGGCAGGTAACTGAGGAAGTGCATGGGGTTTGGAACCGAGAAACTCTGTTCAAATCTGGCCCTGCCACTTTGCACCTGTGTGATCTGGGCCAAGTTATTTCACCTCTCTGGTGGTCACAGCTTCCAGGCCTATCAAACGGGGAGAGTTCTGCCTACTTCAGAGGATGGCAGAGTGGGAAAGTGTCATTGTGAATCCCTGAGCAGTGACTTATCAGGATCCCTCGGGAGGTGGTGGGGGGAACAGCCGGCGACCCCAGGGCATGGTGGAAATAATGCTGCTGAGGCGGGCTCTGCAGGAGGACCAGAAGACTGCGGCGAGGATGGGGGGGGGTGGTCAGTCATGTCAGGGACCTCCCTTCCCCCACAGCCCTCCTCCATGTCCCCGGACCTGCAGGGAGACAGCTCCTTACAGGTGGAGATCTCTGATGCCGTCAGCGAGCGGGACAAGGTGAAATTCACTGTTCAAACCAAGGTGAGGCTGCGCCGGAGCAGGGGGGCGTTCAGATGGCTGCTTCAGGAGGCCGGCGTGCAGATGCCTGCGTAGCCTCTGGGCCCGGCTCCTCAGCCTGGCTCTAGGCCACTGGCCCTCTGAGAAAGAGGGCATCTTGTCTAGTCTCGTACAGCCTTTGCCTGCCTAAGGCCCCAAGTACTACCATCCCCTGTCCACCTTCCTGAGGGTAGTCATGGACGCGTGAGCCCCAACTTGGGCCTCCCCTGGGATGTGGGATTGGAGAGGCTCAAAAGTGGGTGCCCAGGAAGCTTGATGGGTATAGGGTTTGAGCAGGGGAGGAAAGACACCTCAGCTAGGTTCCCTGGCTTCCAGAGCTGCGTCCCTCACTTCGCCCGGACCGAGTTCTCAGTCGTGCGACATCATGAGGAGTTCATCTGGCTACACAATGCCTACGTGGAAAACGAGGAGTACGCCGGTCTCATTGTGAGGAGGGGCCGGCCTGGGCACCAGGGGGAGGCTGGGAGGCTGGGCCAGGCTTAGGGGTGTGGGTGACGGCCTTCTCTACGATGAGAGGACTTCCAGCTCTGTCCCTCCTTGGAGCAGATCCCCCCAGCCCCTCCAAGGCCAGACTTTGAGGCTTCAAGGGAAAAACTGCAGAAGTTGGGTGAGGGAGACAGCTCTATCACACGGGAAGAGTTTGCCAAAATGAAGGAGGAGCTGGAAGCGTGAGTGCCGCCTCCCGTTCCTGTCTGTGACAAAGCCCCAGCCCAGCCTCTCCTGACAGCCCCAGGGTTTCTCCCCTGACTGTCCCCTGTGGATGCTTAGGACCCTGCTCCTCGTTCCAGGGCTGCCGAGGGGGAAGGGGCAGGAGTGGGGAAGGAGCCAGGGAGGGCCCACGAGCTGCCTGCCGTCCTCTGCAGGGAGTATCTGGCCATCTTTAAGAAGACAGTTGCGATGCATGAAGTCTTTCTGCAGCGCCTGGCGGCCCACCCCACCCTGCGTCGAGACCATAACTTCTTTGTCTTTTTGGAATATGGCCAGGATGTGAGCTGGGCCACAGAGCTGGGGTCCCCCCTGGGGGTGGGGGGCAAGGCTCTAAGTGGGCTCAGGCCTCTGTCTCATCAGCTCGGCGAGTGGTATATGCCCGGGGTGGGAGGTGCAAATGCCCACCCTGACGTCGCACCGTCCCCATGTGTGCCTCAGCTGAGTGTCCGAGGAAAGAACAGGAAGGAGCTCTTTGGGGGGTTTCTGAGGAATATTGTGAAGTCTGCAGATGAAGCCCTCATCACTGGCATGTCAGGACTCAAGGTGACTTGGGGGGCCCCCTCTCTGGATTCAACCCAGGGCCTCAAGTCCCCAGCAAGGATTGAGACCCTGGGTCCCTGTGGGAGGGAAGCCACTGATGGGGCCCTGCCTAGAGGGAGATTGTGCCACGCTCGGGAGCCCAAGACTGCACTGCTCCTGGTGACTCAGTGTGAGTGGGTCCTGTCTGGCTCCCTTAGGAGGTGGATGACTTCTTCGAGCATGAGAGGACCTTCCTGCTGGAGTACCACACCCGCATCCGGGATGCCTGCCTTCGCGCAGACCGAGTCATGCACTCTCACAAGTGTACGCAGGGCCCCAGGGGCCCTGGATTCTCCCCAGTGGCCCTACTCCCCAGGGGAGAGGAGAGAGCAGGAAATGCCCTGTGTCTGTCCGTGGCCACAAACACCAGGGGTGGGGCTTGACGTGCAGACCAAGGGGCTCTGATAGACGGCTCTTCCCCAACAGGCCTGGCAGATGATTATATCCCTATCTCAGCCGCACTGAGCAGTCTGGGAACACAGGAAGTCAACCAGCTAAAGACGTGAGGACTCCCTCTTGCCCCTCTGCCCTCTTTCTTTGCCTGTAATACTGTGTCTGTCCGTGAGGGGTCACTCCATGGAAGCCTACTATCAGCTCTAGTGGGAGATGCAGAAGCTCCTCTTGGGCTTTGGGAGAGAAAGAGAGGGAAGGTTCCCCAGGGCAGGAAAGCTTTAAGCAACCCCTAAGACCCCTGCCCTAACTCCTCCCCACCACCTCCTAGGAGCTTCCTCAAATTGGCAGAGCTCTTTGAACGACTAAGGGTGAGTACTGCCTTCTGTGTTGAAAGGCCACCCAATGATCCTTTGCAGGGAAGAGAGTGTCCCGGGAGAGGGGAAAGCTCCAGGGTCATTTTGGAATGTTCAGTGATAACTTGGGCTCAGTGAGGCCCTGGACTCACTCTGCAGACTAGTTTAATAAGAGATGGAGTGGAGACAGGGATCCAGCCTCAAGTGTGGGTGTGTGGTGATGGGGGAGGTGGGAAGTGGGCTTGGCGAGGCACTTACAAGGATGTGCCATGTGCCTCTGGCAGACTGTTCTGCGCTGCCAGCATCCTGCCCCAGACACACTCTTCCTGAACTCCTCTCCAAGAAAGTCACCAGAGTGTGCCAGTCTTCCTAAAGTGTCCGTGGGACCCCATATCTTCCCTGCTCAGGGCCCTTCAGCGACCCTATCCCTCCTAGAAACTACCCAAGACACAAAGCCCAAAGTCCCTAGCTTGCATCTTAAGCCTGTTGTGATCTGGCCCACTGCTGCCCAAGTGCCCCACTGAACTTATGGTTCCCTGAAAACATACCAGGCTTGCACACCTGCAAAGCCTTTGGCTGTCGTCTAAGCCCTACTCAATCCCCAAGATCCAGATCAGATGCCACCTCCTCTGTGAAGCCTTCCCTGGCCTGCTCCCCTGAACCACAGGGCTTGACATAGCGTGGGTATCAAGTGACCCTACTTGGTATTTAGATGAACAGCAGCACCCCCAGCCCTTAGCTGCCCCCCCACCAGCTCCCTCCCCAGCCTCCACTTTCCTAATTCAGAAACTGGAGGGCCGAGTGGCTTCTGACGAGGACCTGAAGCTGTCGGACATGCTGAGGTACTACATGCGCGACTCACAGGCAGCCAAGGTGAGAGGTGGCCCCAGAGCAGACCTCAGGGCTGGAGCCACCAGGGAGGGTGGGCAGGTAGGCAAGGGCCATGGGCCAGGGATCCTGTGCCCCTGCCGGCCCCAGGACCTGCTGTACCGGCGGCTGCGGGCACTGGCAGACTATGAGAACGCCAACAAGGCACTGGACAAGGCGCGCACCAGGAACCGGGAGGTGCGGACCGCCGAGAGCCACCAGCAGCTGTGCTGCCAGCGCTTTGAACGCCTCTCCGACTCAGCCAAGCAGGGTAAGCCCCACGGCCCTGGAGCCCCTGCCACTGCACTGCTGACTCTGCCGGGGTCCCCATTCCTCTCTTCTCCAGAGCTCATGGACTTCAGATCCCGCCGCGTCTCCTCCTTCCGCAAGAACCTCATCGAGCTGGCGGAGCTGGAGCTCAAACACGCTAAGGTGAGCCCTCCAGCCTCACCGAGCCTTCCTGCTGCTTTCCTGGCCTCCCACCCCTGGGCCTCTAGGCCCTTATCAAGTGTCTTGGTGCATGGGGGGTGTGGTGGAGCTTGCGGGGAGGTCAGGCTGCCAGGAGCAGTCCCAGCTGTTCAGGACCACAGTTCCCCATTTTGGATCAGGACCATTCCCTTCTGTCATTGGTAGTGAGGCCTCAATAAATGGTAGCTGTTATTGCTGAGGACAGGGATAGGGACAGAGGGGCTACCCAAGGTGGGGCAACAGAGGGGGTAGCAGCAGATGGGAGCCGTCAAGAATCTCTCCTCTGCAGGCCAGCACCCTGCTTCTCCGGAACACCCTTGTCATCCTCAAGGGGGAACCTTAGAGCCACCAGAGTGCCCCGCTGACCTCCCACCCCAGCAAGATGCCTCCTTCCCCACCCCAGGAGCCACTCACCATGCCCCATGACTTCTCGGGGCAAGGCCTAACCCTACCCCAAGGTGCCAGGCCCTGCAAGATAGGGTAGCATGGGCACCACACTTGGCCACAGGTAAGCAGAGCCCTAACCTGGGGAAACCCAGGGGCCCTGACCTCCCTCCCCAGAGGATATGGGGCAGCCTCATCCCACCTCTGGCCCCAGAGTTCATTTGTCTCCAGCTTGTTCACAAATAAAAAGCCTGGTTCTGTAGCAAGGAGGCTTGCTTGTCCTGACTTCCCAGTTGGAGGGCCCACCAAGTACATCCTCTATCGGGGCACCATGGTAGAGACCAGATCCTGGGGGAACACGGTGAGGTGGGACACCCCTGCAGTGTCTTCAGCCACTTTTCAGAGTGCCAGTAGTGCTCTCAGTGGGAAAGTACAAGACCCAGAACTTGGAATCCAGGAGCAGTCTTCAAGGTGTGCCACCACCCCCATAAACCCTGGCACAGACCACACAGAAAACGAATTATAAGTCCTCTACACCCATTTCCTAATCAGCAAAATGCCTCCCTACCAGAGACACTGGCAAGCTCCAAGCTCCAAGGAACTAAGGAACCAGCTCTTTAACTCCAGGAGGCTTTTTTTAGTTGATTGGGGGTGGGGAGGGGGCAGGGTATAAATCCTCCATCACCACCACCCCTAGGGCAACACTTCCACCTTTACCTGCAGGGCAGGTGAAAACCCAAAGCATAGGACTGGAAAGAGCCCACAGTAAAGCAATGCCAGCAAGAAGCGTGGGGCTCCAGCCAACACCCTCTTAGTTAAACACAGGAAGGTGGAGCCCAAGACACCTGGGTCTGAAGTCCTAGACTCCACCTGGCTGGCCCCACCCTGGCCCCCAGCTACATCTGCAGAAGGCCGAAGACTCAACCTGGCTTCGGACTCACCACTGGACCCAGCCCTCATAAATGAGTCAGCCATCCAGGAGAGAGGGCAGAGCAACGACCAAATACTGAAGGTGGAGAAAAAGCTCAAGCAACCAGTGACTTGCAGTCTCGGGGTCCACATCTGGGCAAGACTGCACAGGGAATCACAGAATGGGCCTCACTGTCCTACTGCCCACCTGGGTCAAGGCAACAGAAGAAACCAGTTCAGGGATTAAGCCCCTCTGTTCAAGGAACCCCTGCAGCCAGTAGCAGACACACCCTGGCTCAGCTACCTTCCGAACAGACAGGCTGGTGCCAACTATGACGCCAGGATATAGAGAGGGAACTGTCAGAAAGGAGGCTCAGCTAGTCACTGGGGCCAAATGAGGGTGTGTGGGGCTGGTTGGAGGGAGGGTTAGGAAAGAGATGCTGCACATTCTCCCAGCCTACCCGCCCCCAAGGTCCCCTGGGCCCCAACCTCAAAACAAACATCCCATTAGTGAGCCTTTTTATTGTTGTGTGTTTTTTTTTTTAATTGAGGGTCCCTTACTGGTCCTGCTTCCATGAGTGGCTGTGACCAGGGGCAAGGGGGAGGGGAACCAGGCGGCGCAGGGAGGGGTCATCTCCACAACATTCCATTTATACACAGAACTAAACAGACAAGCACAGAGTCACTATTGTGGTTAGAAGTTGGCAGCATAGGAAAAGGGAGGAACGAGGGGGGAACTGGGGTGTCGTTAAAAAAAATACACGTCCCCCCCAAACAGGGGTTCCTGGGGGGAACTTGGTCTGTTTCAACCCAAGAGGAATCAGAAGATCAAAAGCGGTTTGGGAAGGCCAGAACCGTCAGGGATGGAGGGAGGAGGAGGAAGGTCCAGGGGGTGGGGGGGGCTGTTTGGCAACTGGGGTGAAGGGACTGCCCTCCCCCTGCTGGGATCCCCCCAGCCCCTCCGGTCTGGCAGGAAGGGGGCAGCCTGCAACCCCCATGGGCAGGTCTGGGGCTGCCAGATGCTCCAGGCAGGGGGCTAGAGGGGGCTCACAAAGGCTTGCCCTCCAGAGAGATGACGGCGCTGCCCCCCAGCTTCTCTGCCAGGGTGCAGCGGTCCTTGACCTCCTCATAGCAGTTTGCTTGCAATTCATGCTTGATCCCTGTGGAGGAGAAGGGGGAGCGTCTGTAAGAGGGAGCCCTGGGGCGGGGGTGGGTGTGCTGCGGCTGGGAAGGAGCCAGAAGAACAGATGGCGGGATAAGGCTACATCCAGCGGGCAGTGAAGAGGAGACAAAGAGAGAGGGCTCTCCTGCACCATGCCGTCCACCCCACCCTGCAGCCAAGGCCTGAACGCAACGGCATACGGCACCACCAGCGCTGGCCCTTACCCGTCAGCTTCTTCTTGATGGCGTCCTTGGAGCTGGCGTAGATCATTTTGCTCTTAAGGGGTGCACACTCAGGGGCCCTGGAGGCAAACAGAATCAGAGAACTTGCCGCAAAGCCCCCTCCTCCAAGTCTAGCAAGTGCCCTGAAGCGATACAGGACTTCCAGAAACCCCTGAGCTGGCCCCTAACATTCAAGCTTTTATCAAGTTCCTCACTGACAGGCATTTTACTACAACACCCTCCCCTGAAACGCACACCTCTGGGTTAACAAGGAGCCACAGACCTTCCTGTCCTGGGAAAGCGGGGTGGGGCAGAGCTACGGCAGGTGACAGGATAAGGTGCCTGCAGGAGAAGCTCACCAGAAGATGAACACCAGGTCCTCCTTCTTGCTCTCCTTGGTCTCATAGGTTGCGTCATAGAGGGCGTAGCGGCAGTCCTTGTCTGGCAGCATCTTGACAAAGGTGGTGTAGGGGTCGTCTACAGTCTGGCCCACATCACCTACCAGGATCTCCTTGCCCTCCTCCAAGATGATGTTCTTCTTGTCCTCGCTCAGGCAGAAGAGCACCGCCTTCTTACGCTTCTTCACCTCCTCTGGTGTCGACGACTTACGCACCTTCATGTCGTTGAACACTTTGATGACCCCATCAGAGACAGCCACGCCAGAGGCCTAGAGAACGAGCCACACGCACCTCATAAGGAAAAAGTTTCTGGGATGTGCCCTGAAGTCCTTCCTTTGCTTTCTTAGGAAATCTGTCTAGATGTCAACAAATACAGTCCTCAGCCCCAAGAGATCATTAATCTCCTTCCCAAGACAAGTATCACTAGTTTCCCACCCAAGTCACTGTCAAAGAATCAGATGTGACCCAACTCCAGAAGAGCCGCCACAGAAGAGACCTCTGATCACATAATTCAACACCATTCCTCCCCACCCCGACATCCTGCAGGCTAGATTAAAGACCTGTGAAAAGCAAAGTCTTGGCCAAGATGTGAACCCAGAATTAAAAGAACCTACAGACGCACGATAAAAAGAACCTACAGACTCACGGTACTCAGTCTCAGCTTTTGCATAGTGCTGACTCAGAACTTCACAGAGAGTAGAAGGGGACCCAAACAACCAGGTCATAGTCATCTCTAAGAGAGAACCAGGACCCACAACGCTAGAGGGGTCACCAACGGTGCTCAACAGTTCTAGCAAGCCCATCAGAACTATTCAACGCAGTTATCACACAAGGTATCCCTTTCTCTGCTGGAGTCTTCCTAAACCAAAGCAAGAACAACAAATCCCTAATTACGGCCCTACCCGACAACTCCCTGTTCTCCGGAAAAAAATGCAGGCCCCAAAGGTCGCTAATAGAAGTTAGCAGTCCAAACTCAAGGGCCCACGGTCCGTGAGAGCTCTTTAAACTTCTATTCTGGGTCGTGTTGGGGGCCACCCTAGCCAGGAATGGGAGTGAGACCGTCCACGGTGAAATCTGCCCCCGCTCCCGGAACTGCAGAGGAAGCCGGCCACGTGATTGAGCTGCTTCCGGAGTAGGCGGGGAAAGGAGATCGGCTAGACTCAGCCCCCTCCCCGAAAAAAACCCGTACCTAGAGGAAGCAGCACCTCCAGGGCCTCAACCCTAAGGAAGCGCCCTTACCGACAAGCTTATCGGCCCCCTGCGCTGCGGGCTTGGACAAATTACCCAACCTTCTGCTCTCTCAGCCCTCGGACCGAACACAGGGGACGGGGTGGTTTCCGGGCGGTGCCCGCCTGGGTCACTTCCCTAAACTCGGCTCCACCCTCAGGCCCCATCCTGGAAAGCCGACAGCCCCGCTGGTCCACGGCTTCGGGCCCAGCAGCCAGGCCTGACCGTGTGCGCACGCGCCGGCCGACAGCGCCGTTCCAGCCTCCGCCGGGTGTACTCTGCGAACCCAGCTCGCCTTGTGGGCTCGCTAGCTCCCGAGCACGGCCGTCTCCGCGCTGTCCGCTCTGTGCTGCGCGGTACAGGTCTCTAATCCCAGGCGCCTGCGCCCGGACCCGGACACCCCCGCATCCCCGCTGGCCGCGTCGCCCCCGCCCCTTGCGAGCATCCCTGCCACCTGCTCTCGAGACAGACCCGCCTGAGAGGGAGGGTGACGCGGAGACAGGAACAGCCCCTGGGTGGGGCGCGCGCGCCGAGTTCGCTCGCGCGCTTTTCCTTCGCCGCCCCCGGGCCAGGTTTGGATGCCGCGTGCTCCCGTCGAGCGCGCCCCCGTGAGCCGACTCTCTTCGGCCCCGCCGCGGCGCGCGACACCGGCTGCTCAGCGAGGGACGAGCGCGCGCGCCCTGGACCCCTCCCCCACGGCCCTTGTCCGCGCGGGCGCAACAGCGGGGTGGGGGAGGGGAAGGGAGTCCAGGGGGCGCGCGAGCGACGTCCAAGCCGGCCCTCACCGGCGCCCGCGGGCGCGCACGCGCGTCCCGGCGCCGCCCGCCCCTCAGCACGAGACCCTCATCCCGCCCGGGGAGGTGGGGGAGGGGATGCCGACGTCGCTCCCCCGTTCCCTTTAGCGCGCGCAGATGATCGACCCGCAGCCGCCTCCCCTCCGGCGCCGTGGCCTGCCGCTCACCATGTTTCCGGAAGAGAAAAGGAGATAGCAAGGAGAGCCAGAAAAGACAAGAGCCGCTGCAGCTGCTGCCGGGATCCGACTGAACGCGGCCTCTCCCGGCCCCTTCCGTTTAGTACGAGCCGCACAATGAGGGGCGGGGCGGGCTTCCGGCGCTCCCCCCGCGGGCCGACGGGAAATGAAGTCCGAGGGTCCTGCGCCGTCTTCGGGCTCGCTGGGTAACAGAGTCTTTTTCACCTGACGGCCTCCCGGCTCCACCGTTGCATACTGGGAAATGTAGTTCAAAACAGCCGAGAGAGGCGGGGCTATGGCACGGAGAGCGCAACCGTTGGTCGAATTTCCCAGGAAACGCTCGGAGCTGAGCGAAGGCCTCGGCGTTGGGTAATATGACCTGAAAATGAGCCCCGACTTCGCGGCTCTCTACCTCGGAGGGAAACGGTTTTTCTAAGATCCATCTTGGCACTATCAGGATCCTTTGGTCTGAAAATTTTCAGTGAGTTAGTATTTTGGTTTTCCGAATTGAAACACCTATTCATTGGCCTGGAATCCAGTCCTAGAGCAAGGAGAATTGCTAGTATAAGGCACCTTCTATCCAATAAACATTTGTTAAGCATCCTCCATGTGTAAAGCCACTCTTGTCTACTGAGAAAAGGCCATATGCAACGTCAATAAAATAAGAGAAAAAAACACATAGGAAAGGCTACGAGGAAATCTTTGAAAATAGAGATTTGTACTCGTTTTTAGGGTGTTTGGCAAAATCATGAGGTAATAAGCCAAAATCATGAGACAGGGGTTTGTGCATTCAATTCAAGGATTATTTGCCTTTTACTAAACAGTGAAAAGCGGAAATAGATATTAAACCAAACTTGAGTCTCATTCTCGAGTTGGTAACCAGGCATATGGTTAATTAGTACCCGCAGAAATTGAGACAGAAGCTCTGTGGGAGCATAACCTTCAAAAAAAGAAACTGGGGTGGGGGACTCCGGGAAGATTTATTTGACCTCGAACAAAGGCCATGCCCTCTTACTCTGCTGGAAGAGAAGACAGGGTCGCAAACAAGAGAACTGGGGGCGTTGATCCCATATGCAGAATAAGGGTGTAAATGAAGAGCCAGAAGGCTGGTCTTCAGGACCCGGGGAGCGACTCCCGAGAGTGGGGTACGTCGCAGAGCATGCCGGGGCTTGTAGTCGGGGACCTTCCGCCGCATCACCCACCAACCGAGCTCCCGGGAGCCTCAGGTGGGGGCCACAGCTCAACCGCCTCGCGCAAGCGGCCCTGCCTGGAGAGGAGGCTGGCTCCACCTTTTTTGAGCTTCGGAGTTTCCTAGAGCAACGACGAGGGGGAGGGAGACTTCGCAGTTACCCTGGAGACGCGCTCCCGCCCGCCCCTAGCTGCGGGATGCCCTAGATGTCCTTATTAGGACATGAGGCTATAGGGGGCGGGGCCAAACCGAACACCCGCTGGAGGCTCCTTATAAGGCAGCGTCGGGCGGGAGGCGGGAGTGTGGAGCAGGCTGTGGGGTGAGGGATCGAGGCGGGGCGGAGCTTGAAGGGGCGGGCCTGGAAGCTCTGGCGCCCGCCTCTCCGCTCCCGTAAGGCCTCAGATCCGCACCTCGCCACTTCCGGTGTAGCAGATGAGGGCTGCTCTAATTTGCTGGCGAGACTCTCGTGCTCAACTGGGACCCCTCTGCATAGTTCCCATCTTAATCTCCCTGAGGGTCCCCCACCTCCAATGAGTCTCAAAAACGATGAAGTGGGGCTTCCTTGGTGGCGCAGTGGTTGAGAATGTGCCTGCCAATGCAAGGAACACGGGTTCGAGCCCTGGTCTGGGAAGATCCCACATGCCGCGGAGCAACTGGGCCCGTGAGCCACAACTACTGAGCCTGCGCGTCTGGAGCCTGTGCTCCGCAACAAGAGAGGCCGCGACAGTGAGAGGCCCGCGCACCGCGATGAAGAGTGGCCCCGTGTAAATGAAGAGCCAGAAGGCTGGTCTTCAGGACCCGGGGAGCGACTCCCGAGAGTGGGGTACGTCGCAGAGCATGCCGGGGCTTGTAGTCGGGGACCTTCCGCCGCATCACCCACCAACCGAGCTCCCGGGAGCCTCAGGTGGGGGCCACAGCTCAACCGCCTCGCGCAAGCGGCCCTGCCTGGAGAGGAGGCTGGCTCCACCTTTTTTGAGCTTCGGAGTTTCCTAGAGCAACGACGAGGGGGAGGGAGACTTCGCAGTTACCCTGGAGACGCGCTCCCGCCCGCCCCTAGCTGCGGGATGCCCTAGATGTCCTTATTAGGACATGAGGCTATAGGGGGCGGGGCCAAACCGAACACCCGCTGGAGGCTCCTTATAAGGCAGCGTCGGGCGGGAGGCGGGAGTGTGGAGCAGGCTGTGGGGTGAGGGATCGAGGCGGGGCGGAGCTTGAAGGGGCGGGCCTGGAAGCTCTGGCGCCCGCCTCTCCGCTCCCGTAAGGCCTCAGATCCGCACCTCGCCACTTCCGGTGTAGCAGATGAGGGCTGCTCTAATTTGCTGGCGAGACTCTCGTGCTCAACTGGGACCCCTCTGCATAGTTCCCATCTTAATCTCCCTGAGGGTCCCCCACCTCCAATGAGTCTCAAAAACGATGAAGTGGGGCTTCCTTGGTGGCGCAGTGGTTGAGAATGTGCCTGCCAATGCAAGGAACACGGGTTCGAGCCCTGGTCTGGGAAGATCCCACATGCCGCGGAGCAACTGGGCCCGTGAGCCACAACTACTGAGCCTGCGCGTCTGGAGCCTGTGCTCCGCAACAAGAGAGGCCGCGACAGTGAGAGGCCCGCGCACCGCGATGAAGAGTGGCCCCCGCTCGCCACAACTAGAGAAAGCCCTCGCACAGAAACGAAGACCCAACACATACCCAAAAATAAATAATAAATAAATAATTTAAAAAAATAAAAACAACGATGAAGTGTTTTCCCCTTGTCCGCGCTTCTTATTCCCAGGCTGCTACCCCGAATCCAACAACGTGTCCACTTCAGCCCCTCCCACATATCCCGATGTCCAGTACCTCCTATTTGTTACCTCTCTACTTGTCCTCTGTCCCCCTCTCCCTGTCCTGCAAGCTTTGGCCTTCCCTGCGTGTCCCCGACTTCGCGTCCCTCCCCCATGGAGGCCCCAGCTCGGGATCACCATTTCCTCGGAGGGTCTTTCAGCTGCTCTCGCGTTACCTTTGTGTCCTCATTCCCTGTACCCATTCCTAATGTCCCTCCGACAAAACTACCTGCAACCCATTTGTTCCCCCACCCCCGCCCCGGACTCTTAATAAGCCCAGTCTCTATACCGTCCTCCTCTAGATCGAGCCTGAAACTGACAGCCTTAGGTTACTCGGTATGCAGCGCCCCAACCAGACCTCCCAGCCACAGGGTGGCGCTGTCCACCTTCCTCTCTCCTGCACAAAGAGGACCCCACCCCACCCCCGCTCTAGAATCTGGGGTGGGAGGAAGGGGCGGGTCAAGGCCTGGGGCGGGCGGGGCGCGTCCGAAAGGCTCGTCCTGTCCCGGGGCGGCGGGAAGGCGAAAGGCGGTATAGACTGTGCTTGGCACCGACCACGGGGAGGGCAGCAGAAATCAGTCCTCTTGGTTAGTTCCCCGCATGGGACCACGTGATTGGAGAGGTCCCTCCCTCTTCCGCCGGAACCAGGTGTTCGAATCCCGTCTCCAGAACTAGCGGCATTTCAGTCCTGCCAGCGTGAGGTCTGGGCCTCGTGCCCTGGGGCTCATGGCAGCGCCGGTCCGCCTGGGCCGGAAACGACCGCTGCCCGTTTGCGCCAACCCGCTCTTCGTACGCTGGCTGACCGAGTGGCGGGACGAGGCAGCCAGCAGAGGGCGCCGCACGCAATTCGTGTTTCAGAAGGTGGGTTCTGGCCGGGCCTGATGGGGGACAGGTGCTGGCCGGGCCAGACAGCCACGTCTACCCTGACCCGGTACTGTACCCCTCCCCCGCCAGGCACTGCGCTCCCTACGGCGGTACCCACTGCCCCTGCACAGCGGCAAGGAAGCTAAGATCCTACAGCACTTCGGAGACGGGCTCTGCCGGATGCTGGACCGGCGGCTGCAGCAGCACAAGGCATCAGGTGGTGAGCGCTGGGAGCAGGGGTCGCTGGTCCCCTGAGCCTCCCCAAGATGCAGCTTGTGTAACCACCTGGGATACTTGGGCTTCAGGCTCCCTGCTCCTGTCCAAGTTGCTGTTTGACGTCGGGCTAGTGGCTGACTTTTTCAGAACCTCACCGCTCTCACCAACCACTTGAGCTGGCCGCGTCCCAGACCATCCTACCTGCTGGATTCCAGGGTGCAGGGTTGACTCTCTTCTACTCCCGCAGGTGACCACGCCCCATGTTCACCACCTGGAGCGAAGAGTCCAGCCCGGGAAAGGCCTGCCAAAGTCCAGGATCCTTACATGCCAGTGAGGAGAGGGCAGGGGGATAGAAGGGAAAGCGGGAGCACCAGGAGTAAGATTTTCTGGCTTGGGGGACTTAGCTGGGCTGGGTCCAAATCCCACCAGTGACACCTGGCTCTGGGCAAATGACTTATTCTGTCTGATGCTTAGTTTTCTTATCTGTAGGTGTAGATAGTGAGTTATAATAGAGTCAGTTGAGAGAATTCCATGATCAAGCTATTTAGGGGGCCAAGCCCAGTAAGTTATGGAATTTGCTGTTGAGTCTTCTTGTCTTACCTTCTCTGTCCTGTGCTAGAACTGAGGCTGGGCCAGGCCGATTACACCCCTACCCCACCCCCCCACCCCTGAAACTGTCCACCGTGTCATCCCAAGTTTGCAGGAGATCATACTATCACATGGCCCATTTTACAGATACAGAAGCTAGAGAGGCAGCTGAGTAATTTGCTCAGGGCCATTTAGTCTGCTGAGATAGAACCTGAACCTCAGCTTTGCCAGGGATTGCGTCTGCAACAGCTGGCTGGTTTTTGGCTTCAAAGGCCCCCTGTACCTTTCAGGGTCCAACCCAGCTCAAAGCAGGAGGCTCTGGCAAGTATTGGCCAGCTCGGCACTCAGGAGCTCGAGCAGTACTGCTGCTGCTGTACCGGGAACACCGGGTGAGCGCCTGACCAAATCGGGAGGCCGGGGAACTGAGGCTACAGGCCTGCGGCTCCTGGGGCAGGCTGCTCGGGCACTGAACCTAAGTTGGCTACATTTCTGCCTTGGTTATAGGATCCTAGCAGCCACGGCTTCCTAACCAAGGAGGAGCTGCTGCAGAGGTGTGCCCAGAAGGCTCCAAGGGTGAGCACTGAGAGGGGGAAGGAGGGAGCCAAGTGGCTCTGGATCTGACGCTGAGCCCACCACAGGCTGCCCTTCTTGGGAGCAAGCAGTGGGGTGGGGCAAGGGAGTGGGCAGGTGGTAGCCCTGGGAGCTCTCTAAGGATCTCCTCCCGTATGAACAGGTGGCCCCTGGAAGTGCTCGGCCCTGGCCAGCCCTCCGCTCCCTCCTCCACAGGAATCTGGTCCTCAGGACGCAGCAGCCAGCTAGGTGGGGAGAACGACGTGAGATGGAGGAGGCAGGGCCGGGGAGCAGGCGTGCCGTGCTGAGGTGGTCCTGCAGCCTCATGTGTACTTGTTGCCGACCTGAGGAGTGGCCCTGGGCAGGTCCAGAGGCAGCTGATCTGAGGGGCGAGAACATGGCTAGCAGGAGGGGTGTTGGGCAGCCACTGGCCTTGTTTGTGAAAGGTCGCCAAGGCTGGTGAGACCAGCCTAGCTGGGGGCAGGCAGGGGAGCCCGCCAAGTATGAGTGAAGAAGGGAGATCTGTGTTCTCCTTTTCCACCCACCAGGTACTCACTGACCCCAGAGGGTCTGGAGCTGGCCCAGAAGCTGGCTGAGTCGGAGGGCCTGAGCTTGCTGAGTGCGGGCAGCGGGCCAGAGGAACCCCCTGGGGAGGAGCCTGCGGTGCCAGGAGCGGCCTCAGCTGAGCTGTGAGGAGGGGGAGGGGGGAGAACAGGGGAGCAGGAATCGTCCCCAAAATGAGGCCAGGACCCCACCCTGTCTCCATCAGCTCCAGCTGAGCTGTGGCTGCCCCACCTCCTAGGGGTTAGAGGAGCAGCAGCCCCAGTCTTGCACACGCCGACTCCCACCCCTTCTCCCCAGTAGTGGCGCCAGCGAAGGGAACGTCCAGCAGCCACCGCTGGAGCTGGGGCCTGGAGAGTACAGGGTGCTGTTGTGCGTGGACATTGGCGAGACCAAGGGGTGAGTGAGATGGGGGGAGGTGAGGGAGAGGATGTGGCGAGGGCCCTGGCCTGCCCTGCCTCAGGCCTCCCACCATGCAACTGCAGGGCGGGACCCAGGCCAGAGCTGCTCCGAGAGCTGCAGCGGCTGCACGTGACCCACACAGTGCGCAAGCTACACGTCGGAGACTTCGTGTGGGTGGCCCAAGAGACCAGTCCCAGGGACCCGGGTAAGGGGTGTGGACGGGCAGGTGGGGGTCAGAGGCAGGGCCTGGAGGGTGAGGGGACGCAAGCCAACGGGACCCTTCTTGGCCGCTCGGCAGCACGACCTGGAGAACTAGTCCTGGACCACATCGTGGAGCGAAAGCGGCTGGATGACCTGTGCAGCAGCATCATCGACGGCCGCTTCCGGGAGCAAAAGGTTCCTTCACTGGCCTCACCACCCTCCCTGTCCCAGGCCCGCTCAGGGGCACTTCTGGGTGGTATCCAGGCAGAGCTCCCACACCTCCAGCCACACCCCCTCTAGAGCTTCTCCAGGACAGCCCCCAGATCAGACCCCCCTCTGGCCCCTCCAGGCACACAGTAGGTATGCAGGCCTCTGGGCGGGGCTGAGGAGCATGTTAAGACTCCTAGGGTGTCCAGCCCCTGCAGTCCGGAGTAAACAAGGCTCACTCCTCCAGGAGTGGAACCGCAGCAGCTGTGTGTCAGTGCTGGCTGCTAGGCTGACCCGATAGGCCACGTATAGGCCAAGGGAAGTTTGAAGAATGGGCGTCGCTTAGATGGTGGCAGGGCTTTCTGTGCAAGAATAGCAGCGTGAGCAAAGGTGTGGAGGCCACTCTGAGGCAGGTGGAGAAGCTAGGGAGGATGAGGAGGCGAACTGGTGGGACCAAGTTCTCATGACAGCTTTGAGGGTGACTTGATAGACACCTAGTATATGAGCATCCACGTCTTGACCCACCTCACCCTCTCCAACTGCCTGCCCAGTTCCGGCTGAAGCGCTGCGGCCTGGGGCGTCGAGTATACCTGGTGGAAGAGCATGGCTCAGTGCGTAACCTCAGCCTTCCCGAGGGCACGCTGCTGCAGGCTGTCACCAACACTCAGGTGAGCCGGGAGGGCAGAGCCAGGCTGGCAGGGACCCTGTGGTCTACGGCTCCGCTCAGGAGCCGCTCTCCTTCCCTTGGATCCTCTTCTCCAGGTCATCGATGGCTTCTTTGTGAAACACACAGCAGATATTAAGGAGTCAGCAGCCTACCTGGCCCTGTTGACAAGGGGTCTGCAGAGACTCTACCAGGTGAGCAGGTGCATCTGTCCGGCACTGGCCCCTTACTTGGGTTGCGTGTTCCCTCAAGGAAGGCGAGGTGAGTGAGATCCCTGTTTCTCAGGCTGGCCCACTGAGGCCTGGGATGGGGCAAGGCCTGGCTGGGGGTTGTCCCCTAGAGCTCTGGCCTGGTCTCAGTTCCCTCTTCCCTCAGGGCCATACCCTCCACAGTCGCCCCTGGGGAACCCCAGGGGACCCTGAATCAAGGGCTGGGCCCTCCGCAAACCCTCTCTGCTCACTCCTCACCTTCAACGACTTCAACGCGGGAGCCATCAAGAACAAGGTACTGCCTCTGCCCAGCGCCTCCTTACAAGGTCCAGCGTGGGCCTCTCCTCACACGGTCCCCCACCCCCACCCCGACCCCAGGCCCAGTCTGTGCGGGAGGCGTTTGCCAGACAGCTGATGCAGCTGCGCGGAGTGAGCGGGGAGAAGGCGGCAGCCCTGGTAGATCAGTACAGCACCCCTGCCAGGTAGGCCGCCACAGAGCCCCTGTCCTCTGCCCCTGCCCACCCTGCGTGGACGTCAACTCAGCCAGTGCCTTGCGGGTGGTCTGGCTCTGTGAGGGCTGGACAGACCCAGCTGATACCTGAGGAGTTCATGGAGGTCTGGTGGTGAGGAAGACAGAACCAGCCAAGACCAGACAGAATCTCAGACATTGGGGGGAGGGAGAGAGACATTCTACAGTTAAGTCCCCTACATACGAACAAGTTCCATTCCGAGAGCACGTTCATGAGTCCGATTTGTTCGTAAGTCTAACAAAGTTAGTCTAAATACCCAATTAACACAGTCAGCTATGTACCGCTGCTTTTATGCTTGCTTCTGGACGTCCTGGGCTTGAAGTAAAGATACTGTACTACTGTACTGTATACAGTACTGTAGAGTAAAGCACACGAAAGCACAGCCACCTGTGGAGGATGCGCGTGAGTGAGCACACACACCAGACGCGTGAACTAACTTACGTGATTGGACGTGTGAACACACGTTCACATCTTTGAAAGTTTGCGACTTGAAGGTTCGTATGGAGGGGACTTCCTGTACCTGGTGCAGCAGAGAAGGCTTCCTGGTAGAGTGGGCAGGCCATGAAGACTGGGCCAAGAACAGCCATACTTGGGAAACATTTGCAGGAGCATGAAAGGAGGGTGAGCAGGATGGAGCAGAGCCTTGAATGCCAGGTTCAGGAAGTGCGGCCATGGTCCTGACTCCTCTAACCCATGCCAGTCTCTTCAGGCCCGCCTCCCGTGACGCTGGCCTGAGCCACTCGGGATGGGCCAACAGTCAGCCATTGCCAAAACTTAGAAACTCATACTCCCCACCCCACCCTCAGCCTGCTGGCCGCCTATGACGCCTGTGCCACGCCGAAGGAAAAGGAAATGCTGCTGAGCACCATCAAGTGTGGACCCCTGCAGAGGTGAGGGCAGGAGACAGAACCTGGAGAGAATAGGTGGGGTGCGGTTACCCTCACCCAGGTCTGACCCTTATTTGTCTTTCTCTTTGTGCAGGAATCTGGGGCCAGCTCTGAGCAGGACCTTGTCACAACTTTACTGCAGCCACGGCCCCCTGACCTGAGCTATGCCACAAGACAGACCCCCACCCCCATTTTCCCAGGCTACGCAGCCTTTTAACTGGGATCTTTGGGCTACAATAAAAATCTTAAGTGTTTGCAGCTTTATGTGTTAGGAGGAGATGCCAGGCCCCAGGGGTCTTGTAAGATATCCAGGTAGGAACTGGGGAGACCATTGGGTCCAGTTTTTAAACTGAGCTTCTCAGGACCCGTGGGGTCCCCTGGCAGGGCACTGAGACTGCCAGGGAGATGAAGTCATTGAGGCGTTGCAACTTTGAATCTCGTTTATGTCATCAGAGTTCTCTGACCAAATAAAGTTTCCTTTGAGAAGAAGTTCTGTAGCTTGGAAAAAAAAGTTTATAAAAGCGCTAACAGTCCAGTTGCCTCATTTTATGGATTGGAACACTGAGGCTCAGGGAGCTACTAGGATTTCTCCAAATTGATCGTTTGAGGGCAGGCTAGGATTGAAACCCAGGGCCTCCTGGCACTGTCTAGAGCAGGATTGTTCAGGCCCACTGCAGACCAGCCAAGCCCACATTTCTGGGCTGGGGCCTGGAGACTGCAGCCTCATTACTTCTTCCCTCCTCAGGGTGATTCTGATGCCCATGGTATATAGGCCAGTTCCAGTCTTGGGGATGCAGCTCCCATCTCCTGTCAATGGAGCCCTTCAGCCTGGACAGAGACACCCCCGCCTTTAGGTGGACGTGGCCCGCCTCCCATGAGCCTGCCCTTTCCCCACTCTGGGGTTCACTGCGGTGTGACCCACCCACCTCAGCCACCAGGACTCCTTCTTTCTCCCTTTATTGCCTTTCTCTCTCTACCCTTCACAACAGCGTCTTCCCTTTTTAGCAGAACACAGTCATCCCTGAGCCCCAGGCTCCTCGGCTACAGGGAACCTCCCCCTCCCTGAGAGCTCCCCCGCCCACTCCTCAGAAGGTGTAGGCCCCCACGAAGACGGTGAGTCTCAGTACAGAGCTGGCCCGGTAGCTCATGAGGGAGTTCATGGTGACCATCTCGAGGTCCAGCACGTACTCCCGGGGGCCTGTCACAGGCCGCGCGAGGACCAGCATGGCGCTGACATTGTTGATTTGCTGCAGGGTACAGTAGGTGGGGGGACACGTAGATTGCGTCAACCTACGCACCAGGACCCTACCCCGCCATCACCTCCCTGCCCCGAGTCTGGTATCCACAACCAGTTGGCTGTGAAGTGGAGAGAGCCCTGGTCAGCCTGGGACCCCAGGCGCTCATCCAGACCTGTGACTCCCTCGACATCTGCACCCGGGCTTCTGCCCTCAGAAACATCCCGCTGGTGCTCTTCCCACCCTTTCCAGCTAGTTCTTCATTTGTCTAACCATGGTCCACTGATTCAGGACCAGGTGTGAGACTCGGGAGCAGTGGGGCCTTTGGTGACCTGGAGCAGGCAGATTCCCCTTCAAAGGCACTCAATTCCAGAAAGAGAAAACCAGCACTGGTACCAGACAAACCCTTAACACCCCTCTCACTGTGTCACATCCGGACCCTGCCCTCCTCCCACCTCCACCAGCAGAGAGCTGGATTCTCAGACCCCAGGCCCCTACGCCAACCCCTGCTGCCTCTCTCTCCAAGATCCAGCTCCACTTGCTTGCCCTTCCCAGACTCTGCTGTGTCTGTTACCTCCAGCCTCTCATGCTAGTCCTTTGTTCTAAGGGTGAGGCAGTTGAAGCCAGATACGCAGACCAGCACAGGGACTCAAAGCCCAGTGTCTGAGTGCCTTGCTAGAAATGTATTTAACAATCTGTAGTTTGTACCAAGGGAATTTAGAACACTCCTACCTTGCTACAGAAATTCTGACCCCTGGGGGGAGGGACACCGAGAGAAGAGGCGGGGCATGGTGGCATAGTTGCGTCTCCCACTTAAGGTTTCCTGGAATTCAGTTTGGGATTACGCAAGTCAGTTGAGGGACTGGGTTAGGGGAAAGCCTTACCCTAATGTAGAAGTCTCCCTGCGAGTTTCCAGCACGGATCTGAAAAGCATTGTAGGCGCCAGGGTAGACAGAGGTCGCTTGGATTTGGAACACGTCGGCTGGTACGCTCCGCTCCGAGGTGATGCTCATGTAGCGGTGCACGATGGACGAGGGCTGCTCCCGGCACAGGGGGTTGGAAGCCGGACAGAGGCAGCGACTGGAGACCCCGAGATGGGAACACGAATGAGGTCATAGCCCATCCTCCAAATCTGGCCCACCCCCAGAATTAGGGATTCCAAAAGGATCCTCCCACTCCTACTGTAACAGCATGTGTGGTTTAGTTGGACTACAACTCCCATCGGCCCTCAGAGCACTCGGCAGCCCGAACAGGCGCCAGTCAGCCGCAGAGCTCTCTGGGAGTTGTAGTTTATTCTATGGCCTGGTGTCGAGTTGACTCACTTGTCCGACACCTGGACATAGGGCTCCACGCAGCGGTTGGTGTCCACGCAGCGGTAGCCCCCGTGGAAGTTGACACACGTTTGGGCCTCAGAGCACTGGTGCGCACCCGACTCACACTCGTCAATGTCTGTGCCGGGGGAGAGGGGCTGGAACCCGGATACCAGGCCACCAGCCCGACACCACCCTGCCCGCTGCACCGGGGCAACCTGTACCTTGGCACAGGCGCGTGGCCAGCAACTGGTAGCCCTGCGGGCAGTGGCAGGAGAAGCGGCCTGGCTCGTTGACACAGCGGTACTGGCAGAGGTAACTGGAGTAGCTGCACTCATCGATATCTGAGGGGGTAGGAGGCGGGGGCGGGGCTGAGGACTGGGCTGCCGCAGTCCTCCAGCTCAGCCCCACACATGCTCATCTCATCGACTGAGCCTGGCCCCAGGTTAGGCCCTGCGGAACTCAGCAGCGGACAGAGGGTTCAGGAAAGAACTGCCCAGGGGACTTTCCTGGCGGTCCAGTGGTTAAGACTCCGCGCTTCCACTGCAGGGGGCATAGGTTCCATCCCTGGTCCGGGAACTAAGATCCCAGAGCCACGTGGCCAAAAAAAAAAAAAAAAAGAAAGAAAGAAAGAAAGGACTGCCCAGCTCACAGATCTCTCTTTGCCCCAGGACTATAAGGTGATACTAAATGAGAGCACTGTGAATCTAGAGGTTTGGCTTTATATCCTACTGACTGAGTTTGGCGGGGGCAAAAAAAAAAAAAAAAAAGAAAGAAAGAAAGAAAGGACTGCCCAGCTCACAGATCTCTCTTTGCCCCAGGACTATAAGGTGATACTAAATGAGAGCACTGTGAATCTAGAGGTTTGGCTTTATATCCTACTGACTGAGTTTGGGGAACCTCAGTTTTCCTGTCAATAAAATCAGTGGCTTAGACTGATGAGCCCTCGAGGCATCCCAGCCTGCTCTGGGTTTCAGTACTTTGTCCGAATCCTGCAACCTACAATCCGCCCAATTACAGTCACCTCCTGCTAACTGTGAGCCGCAGAGGCAGGAGCCAGGTTTTCTCCTCTGTGCCCCTTATGCTGCCCGGCACCTAGCCAGGTACCAATGCGGCCTTCCTCGGCAGCAAAGCACAAAGCATAACAGAAACAGGGCACGTGGCCGGTTGACACGGAGTGAGATAGAGCCCTGGCCCCATTGGGCAAGTCACTCAACGTCTCTTCATTGTAGTATTTTATCTTAGTTTTTGTAATCCTCCCAACAAAACTTGAGGGAAGTATTAATGTCAATTTGCAGAGGAGGAAAAACTGCTATTTATCTCATAGGATTGTTGGCAGGATTAAATAAGGCCAAATATGTAAGGAAAGCATACTGCACAGGGCAGGTTCTCAATAAATGCTAATTCACTTTAAAGCGTCGCTGCTTGGGACTTGGAAAAGTCTGTCGTCATTTTCTCACTTAATTCTCAAGACAACCTATTCTACAGAAGAATAAATGGACTCAGAGAGAAGAGAGACGTGCCCTGGTCCAGGATTCGCATGCACGTCAGCCTGATTCCCAGGGAGGGGGGCACCTACATCTTCGTTCAGTCTCCCTACTGAGCTTCGGTGGGGATCTAACTGCTCCTCTCTCTGCCTTCCCCACGAGGCTGGGAGTTCTGGTGGGCAGCTCTGTAGGTGCCCAGCCACCAGCTGGGGTGGAGTACCAGGAGGCACATGGGTGCAGGATGGACGGGACGTGGAGGCATCAAGGGGAGGGCTGTGTGGCAGGAGGTGCAGCATGACACAGGGCCTGGGGGACCAGTGGAGGGACACGCGGCAGGGGTGGAGCTCTCACCACTGCAGGAGAAGCCATCCCGGTGCAGCTCATAGCCCTGGTGGCAGCGACACAGGAAGGTCCCATAGGAGTTGAAGCAGCGCTGCTCACACGGGGCCCCCATGTCACATTCGTTCACATCTGGGGGCGCCGGGAAGAGGGGGAGGGGTGAAAGCCGAGGAGCAGCCCAGAGCCCCCGCTGCCCCTGGGCTGGTCAGGAAGGGAGCTCCCCCCACACACACCACCCTGCGCAGGACCCAGAAGCCTGGCCCAGCCCGGCCTCACCCACACAGGAGCGGTTGTTGGGCCCCAGCTGGAAGCCCGGCTCGCACTGGCATCGAAAGGAACCAGGCAAGTTCACGCAGCGGTGCTGGCAGTAGCGGTAGCGGCACTCATCTATATCTGGGATGGAGGCAGGGGAAGGACAGCAGAGGGCAAATGTCAGGTGCGGCCCAGGCCAGCTGGGACTCGTCACCCGTAGTCTTGCTTGTGTCTGGGCTGGGCCAGATCAGCCAGGACTCACACATACACGCATACGGTCCTGTGCTTGGGGACAGGAAGGCAGAGGTGGCAGGGGACTGGGGTGAAACCTGGGGGTGGGTTGGAATGGGGATCAGGTGCTAGAGTGAGAGCCAGGTCATGGGCACAGAGCAGGGACCAGAAAGGCTGCTCCCCAGACTCACCCACACACTCGGGCCCGATCTTGCGGTAGCCGTCGGGGCAAGTACACTGGTAGGAGCCAGGCAGGTTATGGCACTCCTGGCTGGGGCGGCAGTCGTGCAGGGCCTGGGCACACTCGTCCACATCTGCAGGAGACACCACTCAGCCCCCGCCTAGCAGCCAATGCACCACCCGACACGACAGACACCTCAGTATGGGAGCACACAGGTCAGGTACCACTTACATGGATGTGTGGGTGACTGATGCACCCACAACAGGAACACGTGGACCCGCCCAACAGCACAAGTAAGAGTTTACCAGCTTGGAGCCAATGAGAACAGCACCCCTACGCTGGGAGACCTCATGCCAGGGAAGTATAGGATAAGGCCCTGCCCATACTCCCAGAAGCACAGATTCCAGGACCTTCCTCCAAGGCCCGAGGCACCCAGGGGTGGGTTGCAGACCAGGAAGGGGCAGGGGCAGAGGCTGAGAGGCAGAGCCCTTGCAGTACGTCTGCAGCAGTGAAGGCGAGGGTCCCAGAGGCTGGCTGGGCAGTATAACAGGAGCTGGGGCCACCTGCGGCAGGCCCCATGCAAAGTGAGGGTCTGGACAAGGGTCTGGATGTTATCCTAGTGGCCCTGAGGAGGCTCTTGAGCAAGGGAGGAACATGAGGTGTAAGTTTTTAAGATGCGGTGAGAGACGCTCGGTAGAAGGGTTGGAAGCCTCAGTGCCAGGGTGACCCTTACTCACCCGTGCAGCTCTCTTGCTCATCAGGCTCATAGCCCGGGAGGCAGGGGTTGGGGTGCTCAGCAGGGGGCACTGGTGGTGGTGGTCCCTCGCCATGCAGGTCACTGATGACAGCAGCAGAGCGGGGCAGGCACAAGTAGCCCCCATAGTGGTTGATACATTTCATTTCCCCCTTGCAGGCCTCCGGGATGGTCAGGCACTCATTGACATCTGCAGAGAGGGGCCTGCTGGGCACAGCCAGTCTCCTGGGCCGGCCGTGGAGGGGGTGGGAGGCAGGAGCCCATCTCAGCCTTCTCTAAGCTGAGTGACCCGGGCAGGGCCTTCCCTCTCTACTCAACAAGCTAAGGCTGCCTGCCCAGGACCCCTTCCCAGGGCCTGCCAGGGCTGATGGTGGGGCGGGTGTTCCTATAGTCACCCCCATTTTCTTGCCCCCAAGAGGGTCTCTGTCCCTCCCCAAAGCCCTGACCCTGACTCAGCCTAAGAATGATGTGCAGGCCTCCTTACCCACCCCCACAGGCACTGCTCTCCTGGAGAACAAAGCTGGGTAGGACAAAGCTGGATAGGACAGTGATTAGAGGAGGTATCCAGGGCAGCGCCCTGTTGCTCTCTAGACTCCTGAGTGGGTGGGGAGGGTGGCGGGCAGGGTATCCTGGGTTTCTCTGAGAGGGAGGGGCCTGGATGGTTTCTCCACCCCTAGCCGAGCTGGCCCCCTGAGAACCAGAGCTGGCCACGGCCAGGCAGAGCTGGGCAGGAGACAGAGCAGCTCTTGGAGGTGGGGTTGCAATCCCCTTCCCAGTTCTCGGGGGTGGGTCAGTCCCCCAAGCATCCTCACCCCGGCAGTGCTGGCTGTCAGGGTCCCACTCATAGCCGTCTGTGCATTCCTACAAGGGGACCAGAGGTGACCAGTGGTCACCCCTGGCCCCCTCTAGCTGACCAGGCCAAGACCAGGGCCCAAGCCTGGCCACCCTCCCCGCCTGCTCCAAACAATGGCCCCAGCTGCTCCACCAACCAGGGGAGGGGAGAATCTTCCCCAGCAGCAGCCACCCCAGGATCCTGGTTTCTGTGTCCCAGCCCAGCCCAGCCCAGCCCAGGCCAGTGACGCCACTGTCCCCACCGTGTAGCTGTCGGGCTCCTCGGAATCCTGGGGAGACGCTGCCCCCAACAGCAGCAGCAGCGCCCAGAGCAGAAGAGACGCGGGGAGGCAGGAGGCGAAGGGGAGCATCCTGGGGCTGGGGGACGGTGGGCGGGGGTCAGGGCGCCTCTGCCACAGCAGCGCGCATTCCCGGTACCAGGACTCAGAGCCGTGGCCCCGGTCGCCTCCCGCCCGGAACCGTGCTTGGGGCCCCGAAGCCTCCCAGGGCTGAGGGCCGACTCCTCACGCAGGCCGGGGTTCAGGGCCCCCCCGCCCGGGGCCGCCCCGCCCCCGCCCGGTCCCCCAGCGGCTCCGGCCGAGGAGCGCGGGCCTCTCGGCTCCTTGCTGACGCGACTCGGCCGAGACTCTGGCTCGCGCCCTCCCCCCATGGACGGCCACTCACTTGGGCCCGCGACGGCCCCGCGGCCCGCGGCTCCGGCGGCTCGGCTGGCTTCGGCAGTGCCTGCGGCAGACGGACAGGCGGACGGCGCAGCTCCCTGGACGCGCGGCCCCAGGAAGCGCCCCCCGCCCGCCCGCCGCCGCGGGACACCCCCCACCCCCCGCGGACGCTACGCCGCGACGAGTAGGAGGGCCGCTGCGGTGAGCCTTGAAGCCTAGGGCGCGGGCCCGGGTGGACCCCGACCCCCCACTTCTCCGCCCCCAGCCGGCCGCAGGCCCCCACCCGGTCCCCCGCGGCGCCTCCCGGAGCCGCCTCCCAGCGCCGGGCCAGGGTCCCCTAGCGCCCTGTCCTGGGGGCACTGGCCCTGATGCCAGGCCCCCTACTCACTTAGGAGCCCCCACGCTTTCACTTTGCGCACCCCAAAATGTCATCCTGCGCACCTAGACCCTACCTAATCTGCGCCCCCAGAATTCCTGTGCACTTAAGGCCGGGGCCCACAGACTCTTTCTGCGCCTCCCAGAATGTCATCCTGGGGACCTAGACCCCACCTAATCCTGGGACTTCCAGATCCTCACTCTGCACCCTCCAGAATGTTATTCTGTGCACGCGGACAGTCACTCTGGAAATACCAAAACTTCGTCCAGGGTCGCCAGACCCTCGCCCTAAGAAGAGACGCTCCCGGGTCCAGAACTGTCCATCTCGGTCCCTTCTCCTCTCCATCCCCAGGGCTGTCTTCAGCCAGGCGGTCCCTTCACTCCAGAACGGCCTCCTGCGAGCCCTCAGTCCGAGAGGCTACCTCAGTTTGGGGCGGGGGCGGCAGTTCACTTCTGGCCCAGAATGAATGGAAGCCCCTGAGAAGGCGGGCAGGGCCGAACTCGGGCGTGCAGGACGCCAGGGTCCGGTGCCATCGCCTTCCTGGCCATCCTCCCACCAGCGTCCCCCGACCCTACACACACACACACCGCCCCCAGTCCCCGGGTTTCTGCATCCTCTCCCAAGCAAAGGGAGAGCCCTAAGGGGAGGAGTTTGGGCGGAGCTGGCTCCCAGGAAGGGGTTGGGGTCTTGCCCTGGCCACTTCTCAGGGCGGGGCCAGACGGGAAAGGGCTGCGTGTCTAGGGGTCCCCCGCCTGGAGGCAGACAGCGTGTGGGAACTGCCGAGCCCTCGGTTCCCTTTCCCACCCCCGTTTATCTTCACTATCGCCCCGCCCAGGGAGGGGGTGTAAGTAGGAGAGGACTTAACGGTGGGTCCTGGGGTGAGCCTTCCGGGTGCGGTGTGAACTGGAGAGCACCTCGCCACCCCGAAATCCTTCCCAGCACCATCCCCCAACGTGGGGGGAAGGAGGCTAAAAATAATAGTTCTTTAAAACCAAAAAGACAGACAGTAACAAGTGCTGGCGGGGAGATGGAGAAATTGGAACCCTCATACACTGTGGGTGGGAATGTAAGATGGGGCGGCCACTGTGGAAAACAGTCTGGCAGGTCCTCAGAAATGTTACCATGTGACCCAGCGATTTCACTCCTAGGTATATACCCAAGGGGATTGAAAACAATTCACACACACACACAAAATCTGTACAGTGTGCATAGCAACACTATTCATAAGAACCAAAATATAGAACCAATCTAATGTTCATCGATTGATGAAAGGATAAGCAAAAATGGTAACACGGTGGAATGTTATTCAGCCATAAAAAGGAATGAAGTACTGATATATGCTACGACATGGGTGAATCTTGAAAATAGCACACACTAGTTGAAAGGAGCCAGACACAAAAGGCCACATATTCCACTTACTTATATGACACAACCAGAATAGGCAAATCTGAAAGACAAACTAGATGAGTGTTTGCCAGGGGAAGGGGAATGGGGAAATGACTTCTAATGGGTATGGGGTTTCTTTTTGGGTGATGAAAACGCTCTGATATTAGACAGTGGTGATGGTTGCACCATTATGCAAATGCGTGAAAAACCGCTGAATTGTACACTTAAAAATGGTGAATTTTATGGTATGTGAATTATACCTCAATAAAGCTGTTATGTGAACCTCCAGCTCTGAGGGCTGACATGGGGCTTTAGTCATAGGTCACACACAGCCAAAACCAGCTTGGGAAACATGCCTGGGATCTAGAATCATGAAGCCAGGTACCCCTCTGTGGATGGTCTGTCTACTGTATTTTAATAAAGGCAGCATCACTCTTTTTTCCAAATAGAGGAGTCCCTTGGCTTACTATCCAGGGTGTGTGGGTGGGGGGGCGGGGGCTGGGTGCAGCAAAATGGGATCTCACAGCTTTGGGAAGATTCCTAATGAATGAAGAAAAGAGGTGGTGAGCTCATGAGTGGATGGATCCCTTCCCGTCGCTCCCATCCCCATGCAACCCCGAGAAAGCCAGTTTTTTTCTCACCCATCTCTGGTATTGGGTGCTGGTTGCCAGCCTGGAGGCCCATATGGGAGCTCCCCAGCCCAAGGACCCACGTAAAACCAAGGCAGAAGTAACAGGTGTGAACACCCCTGCCCAGCCCTTAGCCTCCGGCCTTACTCTGTCTGAGATGCCAACCCTGCTATCTTTCTGCCCCCTCAGGCCCACCCACACCCCTCATCCCCATCCCCAGACTGTGATAGGAATGAAGAACAGAAGGAGGTAGTAGATGCCACTTGCTGTCCCCTGGACCCTGAACTTTTCTATTGAAAACCGATGATGACCAATCGCTCAGTCAACAAATCCCCACTGAGCCAGCTCTGTGCCCAGCCCCTTCCTGGGTGCTGAGGACACAAGCAAGGCAGATACTTCCGGTGTGGTTGGGACGCAGATGCCAAGTAGGCACAGGCACAGCAGGGGCTCAGGGAGCTGCAGGTTACACCACAGGATGGGTGAGCTTCTTGGAGGTGACTTCTGAGCTGACTGAGCTTTGTAATAGGATGAACAAGAATGCTCTCCGGGGGCCACTGACCACCATCCATCCCCCCAGTCATCAGGGCCTGTGGCTTCCATAGCCCCCTGTTTCCCCCTCAAGGCACTGATGGCCTTATATTGTCACTGCCCACTTAGGATCTGTCTCCTCCTGTCCCCTTAAGGACAGATCCATCTCCATATCCCTAGAATTGCCCAGAACAGGGTGGGCAGAGAGCCTCTGTTGAATAAAGGGGTGGAGCGGGGTACAGGAAGGCAGGGGGCCATGTAGGGACAAAAGCCTGAAGGCCTCTTGTGCTTGGGGGTCCTCCTCCCCATCGCAGCCTGGTTTCCCCTTTGTGGTTTCTCCAGCTCCACCCTCTCAGCCCCTCCACCTTGGTCTGCATAGCTTCCTGCCGCTGACACTCTGGTCTGCGGCATCATGTCACTAACTGTCCATCTCTCCTATCTCCTGGCCCTGTTGGTGGCAGGCCTGGCCCAAGGCATCAAGAGCTCCCTCAGGGGCCAGGTAAGTGTCCCCAACCTGCTCCCCATGCCTGGGGCTCACCCCCTCAGAAACAGTGCTTTGTTCCTATTTCTCAGAGGGAGCAACTGAGGCTGGAGAGGTGATTGACGTGTCCAGGCCCACACAGGGAGAAGAGCGGGTGAACCGGCTGCTCCCCTAACCCAGTCCTGGCACGTCTGGGAGCTGAGGTGTGGCCCCAGCGATGACTCCTCACCTCTCCCCCTCCCCACTGCCCTTGGTTGTTTCTCCAGGACCCAGGTCCCCAGCCTCTGGAGCTGAAACAGGTCTTCACGTTGTTCCAGATCCAATACAACCGGAGTTATTCACACCCAGCAGGTATCATGGGGCGCAAATGTCTCCGGCCCAACCCCCCTTCTCCCATTTAAGAGACAAGGAAATCAAGGCACAGGGTGGGGAATGTGCTTGGCCAAAGCCACTCAGCAGGACAGTGACAGGGCTGGGGGTGTACTCCCTGGTTTCCCAAATGCACAAGTGGGGACAGGATCATCCTTGGCTACGAACCTGGAGGGAGGCGGCAGCTGTTGAGGGTCTGACTGGTCCAAGAGGATCCTTCGCCTCCAGAGCCACTTTCCTGTGACTGCAGGCAGCAGGCAGGAGGCCGCCATCTAGTCATGAGTTCATTCAGTGAACACCCAAGGATACCCATTTTGTCCCCAAGCTGGGGACTCCCTCTCCACCCCCCAGGAGTAGCCAGCCCTGCCCCTGCCCTCTGGATCTCATCTCCCATAGGGGGACGGTCTGTGAGCACCTTTCAGCCCAGACTTCCTGTGCCACGGACCTGTACCCCACCCTCCCCCGCCTCGTTCCAGCCACAGACTTGCGGTCAGAGATGTGAAGTACAGAGAGCGATAACCTGGCAGGATGCCGGTCTCTAACCATCCACTTTTCCCTTGAGCCACTCTGCCTTCCGACCCTTTACTTGGCTGCTCCCCCAGGTGGGCGGAGATACTCCTCTTCTGGCTTCCTAGGAAAACCCAACCCTGGGGGTGCTGGGGAGCCATTTCCTTGGCCCAGGTGTCTGTAGCAGGGCCTGCAAGGACCATGGGAAACAGAGCCAGTGCTCACCTGGGCGAGTGTGGATGACAAGCCAAGCCAGTGACCACTTCCTACCCCTGGGGGCTTGGGAGCCAGCCTAGGACAACCTCCTTTTGGTCTAGAGCATGCTCGCCGCCTGGACATCTTTGCCCGAAACCTGGCCAAGGCTCAGCAGCTGCAAGAGGAGGACTTGGGCACAGCTGAGTTTGGGGTGACTCCATTCAGTGACCTCACAGGTACCAGGACCCCCTCCTGGCCCCTAGGTGGTAGGTGGGGAAGCAGAACCTTCTCCAGGGATACTAGCAGATGGACAGGGCAGGTTTTTGGCTTTTGTCTCCCAGAGGGACTCTGAGGACCAGAGGCCTGGGTGCTTGGCCCAAATCAGAGATCAGGGGCAGGAACTCCGGAGGCCAAGGTCGCAGCCCAGCTCAGGGGGAGGCAGCAGGTGCAGGGGAGTGCACCCCAGCAAGGAACCTGGCCTCTCTCTAGGCCTCAGTACCCTTGCCTTTCTGTCTCCCAGGGTATTAGGGGGACTCAGATGGCTGAGGATGTGGATGGCTGAAATGAGAGGCAGACTGTGGGGGAGAGGGGGTAAAAACTGCGAAACTTGGGGGCCCCATTTGTCTCCCAGAGGAGGAGTTTGGCCAGCTTTATGGGCATCACAGGGTGGCTGGAGAGGCCCCCAGTGTGAGCCAAAAGGTAGGGTCTGCAGAGTGGGGGCAGTCAGTGCCCCCGACCTGTGACTGGCGGAAGAAGGCTGGCATCATCTCATCCATCAGGAATCAGGTATCTGCCCCCATGC